ATTGCAAAAGACCCAACCAAGAAAGAGAACTACAGGCTGATCGCCTTAATGAACCTCGATGCAAAAATCCTGGGTAAGATACTGGCAAACAGAATACAGAGGGTCATCAACAAGATCACAAACCCTGACCAAGTTGGATTTATCCCAGGGATGCAAGGATGGTTCAACATACGTAAATCAATAAATGTAATACACTATATTAACAGAGTCAAGGCCAAAAACCATATGATCATCTCAACAGATGCAGAAAAACATTTGACAAAATTCAACACCCATTCATGATAACCCTGCAGAAAATTGGAATAGATGTTCTTTATCTCAACTTGATAAAGGCTATCTATGAAAAACCAATAGCCAACATAACATTAAATGGCCAAAAACTGAAAACCTTCATGCTAAAATTAGGAACAAGACAATGTGTCCACTATCACCACTCCTGTTCAATATAGTTCTGGAAACATTAGACACAGCAATTAGACATGAGAAAGAAATTAAAGCAATAAACACAGGAAAGGAAGTTAAACTGTCATTATTTGCTGATGATATGATCTTCTACATAGAAGACCCCAAAAACTGCCAAAAGACTTGTAGACTAAATTGACACTTTCAGCAGAGTAGCTGGATAAAAGGTCAATACTAAAAAATCAGTAGTCTTGTATGCAAATAACAGACTAAGAGAGAAATTAGGGAAACAATCCCTTTCACAATAGCATCCAAATAAATGAAGTATCTAGGAACCAATATAATGAAGGAAGCAAAAGACCTCTACATTGAAAACTATAGCACTCTGAAAAAAGAGACTGAAGAGGATATAAGAAAATGGAAAGATATCCCCTGCTCCTGGGTAGGAAGATTCAACATAGTGAAAATGGAAATACTACCAAAATTACTATACAGATTTGATGCAATCTCAACTGAAATGCCCAACACTATATTTTGCAGAACTAGAGAAAATCCAAAAATTCATTTGGAACCAAAAGAGACCTAGAATAGCAAAAGCAACTCTAAGCAACAGAGACATGGCAGGGGTATCACAATCCCCAACTTGAAACTACACTAAAAAGCCACTGTGATAAAAACAGCATGGTACTGGCAAAGAAAAAGACCTGAGGATCAGTGGAATAGATTGGAAGATACAGAAACAACTCCAAATGTACTCAGGTACCTTATCTTTGACAAAGATGCCAACCATCCTCAGTGGAGGAAAGATAGCTTCTTTAATAAATTGTGTTGGAAAAACTGGATTTCAACCTGCCAAAGATTAAAACTAGACCCTTATCTTTCACCATGCACTAAACTAAAATATAACAGGATTAAAGATCTAAATATTAAAACAAACACTAAATTTGCTGGAAGATAAGTTAGGCACAACTCTTGAAGACACTGGCACAGGAAAAACTTTATGAACAAATCCTCAGTAGCACGGGAACTAGCACAAAGAATCAACAACTGGGACCTCATCTTATTAAAAAGCTTCTGGCTGGGGATTTAGCTCAGTGGTTCTGCCGCCTGCCTTGCAAGCGCAAGGACCCGAGTTTGATCTCTGGTACAAAAAGCTTCTGCACTGCAAAAGAAACCTCCAATGGAGCTAAGAGACAACCTACAATGTGGGAAAAAAAATTTTCCCTGTTCCCCAAAGGACTATTATCTAGAATATATAAGGAACTCAAAAATACCAGGCCTCCCAAATATGAAGACCCGATTCAAAAATGGGCATCTGAAATGAACAGACATTTTGCAAAGAAATAAAAGCAGTAAATAAATATATGAAAAATGTTCAACAACACTGGTCATTCGAGAGATGCAGATGAAAACAACACTGAGATTCTACCTCACCCCAGAAAGAATGGCTGCTATCAAGAAATCAACCAGTAACAAATGTTGGTGGGGTTGTGGGGAGAAAAGAACCCTTCTCCTTTGTTGGTGGGAGTGCAGACTGGCTCAACCACTGTGGAATGGAGATACTTCAAAGAATTAGTATTAGTATCTTTCCAAAAGAATTAAAAGAATCATACCACAGTGACATATGCACGCTCATGTTTATAGGGGCACAGTTAGTAATAACTAAAGCTTGGAAACAGCCCAATTGCCCATCAGTTGGAGACTGGATAAAGATGATGTGGTTTTTCTATAAAATGGAGTACTAACAGCCATAAAGAATGAGAAACTAGAGTCATTTGTAGGAAAATGGATGCATATTGAGGCCATACTTTTAAGTGAAATAAATAAGATACACCAAATAGTTTTTCTGGTGTGAAAAACTCAAAGTGTAAATAAGATCCAAATTGTATAACTGATAATGTGAAATAGGAAGAAAAAGGGCTAAAGGTGTAGGGGAAGTGGGAAGGGTAGGAGAAAGGAAATAAGGGAAAAGAAAAAATAAGAGAAAAGGAAAAAATGAAACAAAGTCTTTATAAATAGGAGAAAGGGGAGGCAAGGGAGAGCAGGGTTATGGGGAAAAAATGAGAACCAAGATCTGTCATGTAAAGGTACAAGATTGCAATGATGAATGTAACTGTACTGTATACTTAAAAAGTACCAATACACTCAATGAAAAAAAATTCCCTATGGTGAATGTTATCGTTACGTTTATCTAAAAATGTACCAAATATTTTGCTTCAAAAAAAAGTAGTCAGAACCACTATAAAAGATAAACATTTAGAACTGATTGAGGACATCAAGGCAACCACAACAATGCAACTAAAGATACAAAAGAAGACTTCCAGGGCTGGGGATGTAGCTCAGTGGAACAGTGCCTGCCTGGCAAGTGCAAGTCTGAGTTTGATTCCCAGTACCCCCACCAAAAAAAAAGACTTCCAGAACTGTCACAGAATGTGGCAAGAACACAGAAATAAGTATGTCCAAAGCAAGGAGCCTGAGGGGGCTTAATGGCAATGTATAATAAATTTTAAGTTAAAAAAAGGGACTGAGTTTACAATAACATTAAAATTATAATGTACCTGGGAAGAAATCTTTTTTTTTTTTCTTTTTAAAGACAGGGTCTTGCTATGTAGCTAGGCTAGCCTTGAACTCACTGTACTGTGTACCCCAGGCTGGCCTCAAACTCACAGCAATCCTCTTGCCTTAGGCTCTGGAGTGCTGGGATTACAGGTGTGTGTCACAATGCCTGGAAGAAATCTAATTTTAAAAATAAAAGCATATGTGATAGATATATGAAGAAATTATAAGACTAAGTTTAAAGATATAAAAATAAACTAGGAGATACCTTGTTTGTGATAAGAAGACACTATTGTAAATATATCAGCTCCTTTCCAGTACTGTATAAATAAGCTATTCCAATCAAGGTCAGACAGTTTTCTGTAGAAGGTAGCACACATTCTAAAATCCAGAGTAACTGGCAAAGAATTGTGAAAAACAATTATGAAGAATAAAGGGTATGTGTTTGTGTGTGTGATGGAAGCAGGGAGGGTATGAGTCTTAAGCCATTCATCTATGGACGTGGGTGAGTGACAAGCCTCAATTCAAATTAATAGGGAAAGGACAGCTGACATCCCAAAGCAGGCCACAGAAACTAGAATTTCTCCTCCCTAGGTGGCCCACAGAAAGTAACATTCCCCTGCCTTTCTACCTTGGAGTTTGCCATAAAGAAATCCTCTCATCTGCTTTGTGTGATAGATCTTAAGAAAAGAAGGAATGTGTAAGATCACACCCTTTTTGTTCAATTACATTTCTACATAGTTGTCCATACTTTAAGTATACCTATACGATAGGTCTTCATAAAACCGCAAAAGGTCAGGGTTTGGAGAACTTCCAGGTAGGTGCCCAGATAGGACATACAAGCTCTGCACTCCTTCACCTGTATATCACTTTCTGCCTCTCTTCATTTGTGTCCTTTGTAATATCCTTTAAAATAAACCAGTAAACATGTTTCTCTTAGTACTGTGAGCCACTCAAGACAATTAGTGGAACCCAAGGAGGGTGTGTGGAATCCTGATTTACAGCCAGTGCGTCAGAAGCACAAGTAAAACAACATAAGGTTTGTGCCTGGCATCAGCGGGACTGAGTTCTCAACCTTCAGGATTTGATGCCATCTCCTAGGAGGCAGCATCAGAACTGAACTGAACTAGATGCTGTCTGCCCGGGAGCTTACTGCTGCTTGAAGCATGTAGTGAACCTCCACATACCTGGTGTCAGAAATGATCTGGGTTGTGACAATGTACTAGGAGAAATTGAATTAGAGTCTGTTTTTTCTGTTCAATAATATAATCAATAAATGGCTGGAACTATCAAAAATGAGAAAAGAAAACAAGATCCTATACCATGATCAAAAAAATAGATGTAGGCAGACTAAAGATTTATGTGAAACATTTTTAGAAGAAAATATAGACTTATTTTTATTATAATAATGATTTTTCGAAGACTAAAAGCATTAGGGAAAGACTGATAAACATGACATTTAAAATTTTTCATACTAGAGGCTGCAGACATAACTCAGCAGTAAAGACTACGGGCTGTTCCTTAGTACCACACAAAAACAAAAATGACACACATATTAAAAACAGTGAAAAAAGTTAAGTCTGATAAGAAAAAGATACCTATAAATCTATAGAATGACAAATACTAGTGTGCAGAATGTATGATTCCTTACATACAAAAAGAAAAACCAATAAACAAGTGAGCAGAGAATATGTACAAACAATTCACAATACAGGTATAAATTTATTTATGAGTTAATGAATTAATTAAAGATTGGTCCTAGGGTATGTAGCTCAGGTTAGCTTCAAACTCACTGTGTCACCCAGGCTGGCCTTGAACACATGATCCTCTTGCCTCAGCTTCTCAAGTATTCCAAAATTTATATACTTATGTTCAAGGTCACCAGTGATACAGAAAGACAAATTAAAATTAAGATATTTTACATTTATTATAAGTGGCTAAGATTTTAACATCTCCAGTTAGATTATTTCTCAAAGAAAGAATAAAAACTGAACTTGTGCAACTCTAGTAATTTATTGTAGTAACTGGAGGCAGCAGCACACCTGCTTCTTGGCTGCTCAGTCCAAGCTGTCCAGGAGGCAACAGCAGCACAGCGCCGCCCAGCATGCGGCCAGGACTGCCTCACACCCGCTGTTCGGCTCCGTCTTCCTTTCCCGTTCCACTACGTACACTGGGGCACAGGGAGAGGCAGAAGGGGAGAGAGAGACCCAGTCAGAAGGGATGGAGAGTGGCAGCAGTCGGGCAGCACTTACCATGCTGCATGGAGACTGTTCACTGGAGACTGTTAGCCCCACAAGGGCAAAGCAGGTCCACATCCCACTCTATCTCTGCTCCAGCGTCTGGCAAACAGCAGGTACTCTAATTGTCAGACCACTGTTTCCTGCCACCTCTCCTTCCTCAAGCTACAAAATCATCCTTGATGTTGCCCAGAGTGATCCAATATGCAAAGCAACCCTCCCCTAAGCCCCACCCCAGCAGTGTGGAAAGGTTTTGCATGTGCTCCTTTGGTCCTCACAACAGCTCTGTATCACTATCAGCACAGGGTAAGTCCCATATGCTGTTAGGAATGGGAACTGCAGAACTGTGAAAGAGAATTTAGGGGGAAGAAAAACCTGAACTTAGAATTGATCCTACAGAAATTGTCCCAGTGTTCAGAGATCTACAGTATGACTGCTGCTATATCAAAATAATCCCAAACTAGCAACAACCCCAATATCTATCAACCAGAGTCGATTAGCCAAATTAAGGAAGGCACAGTGATGGCAAACCTTTTAAAGCTTTCAATGACACAAACAGCCCACTGCAGCACGCATGCCATAGGTTTACCACCACTGGTTCAATCGAATACCAAACAGCTCTTAGAAAGGTCTAGGTAGCTCTTCTATGCGGCTGATAATTCAAGCATGTATGGAAGCAAAGAATAAAGTGCTTCTATTTTATTTGTATAAAAAGGTAACATACACATACATGTTTCTGAAAGAATACAAAAAACTTAAAGGTCAGAGTGTAGGAGAGGTGAAAGTTTTCACTTTGTGTTTTTCATTTGCTTGAATCCTGTCTTGTCTGATTCTGAAACCACATTCATTCAGCTGCCCTCTGCAGTACCTACTGGGTCCTGCTGGCCAGAGGACACCTGTCCAGTTTCAGCATGCGTTGGCCTCTTCTGGCCCCTGGTAAGCCAGGGCTTATGGGGGCAGCTTGCACTAACGCAGTCAGTTGGACTTGGAGCTCCTGGCCCCAGTTGACCACTGTCATGCTGGACTACCTCCTAAGCCACTTTTACCCAGACCTCCTAGGCCCCACTCCACCCAATTTACTACACCCTGTTGACATGTCTTAAATCCAGTTATTTTTAAGAGTCACTGTTATTTAATTCAAGGGGTTAATTTACCAGAGAGCCACTGAATACATAAAAAGTACCAATAAACTCAATGAGAAAAATTTTTTAAAAAACAATGAAAAGGAAAATATTAGAGAATGCTGTAAAATTAGTCTCACAAAATAAACATTTTAATATTAAAACCTGTCAATGAAAGATTTTGAAATAATTGGAAAACTTTCAAAATTCATAGCAAATAGTGTTAATAAAAAAAAATTTACCAGAGAGCCTGTCAGTCAGTGGACAGCATATAGTCCATCCTGTTAATACTACTAAGGGTCTAGCAATCAACCTTAAAAGGCAACCCCTATAAAGGCAGACCTTTGAAAGGTCTCTATAGTACCTATCTTCCTGGATAATGACTTTACTCACTGTGATTTTTTTCCCTCATTGAGTTTATTGGTACATTTTAGGTATACAGTCCAGTTACATTCATCATTGGGATCTTGTACCTTTACATGACAGGTCTTGGTTCTCATTTTTCCCCACACCCCTGCCCTCACCCCCCTCCTCCCTTCCCTATTTACAAAAACTTTATTTCCATTTTTTCGTTTTCTCATATTTTTTTCTTTTCCATTATTTCCTTTGCCCTACCCTTCCCACTTCCCCTACACCTTTAGCCCTTTTCTTCTAATTTCACATTGTCAATTATACTGTTAGGATCTTATTTACAATTAAGGTTTTCATACCAGAGAAACTATCCAGTATTTACATGTGTGACTTATTTATTTCACTTAGGAGTATGACCTCATTATCCATTTTCCTATGAATGACTCCAGTTTCTCATTTTTTATAGCTGAGTAGTACCCCATTTTATAGAAAAACCACATCTTCTTTACCCAGTCTCCAACTGATGAGCAAATGGGCTGTTTCCAAGTTTTAGCTATTACAAATTGTGCCGCTATGAACATGGGTGCGCATATATCACTGTGGTATTAAATCCAGTTTTAACTGCCACAGGTCTTGCTGCCTATGTTGCCCCCGCAGCCCAGGATTCCTGTTGGGCAAACCCACAACAGGCAGATGTCATCAAATCACTACTCCTCCCTGCAACCGATCCAGAAAGCACCCCAACACTGGTGCCATTCCTCAGGCTGAGACCTTAGGAGCAACCCCTTATGGCATATCCCAAAAGCTCCTTCCCAACATTCCTTTTGCACCTGCCTCCCTCTCCAGAAATACTAGCCTGCAGCACTCCAGAACTTCAGAACCAAACCGGGATTTCAAGATTCTCCAGGGGCCAATTCTAGGTCCTTGACTCCCTCACCCTCTCTGTCACCCTAATAAATGTGACCCCTATGTTCTTTCTTTCCTTGGGTCCTCAGCAGAGTCCCTTGACTCTCCACACTGCTGCTCTCCATCCCATAGGCCCATTCATTGCCTCAGCAATATCCATCCCTCGTCAGGGTCCTTGGTGTATCCATCTGAACACCCACACCCAAAACAGATGTGCTGCACCACTCTGGCAACCCAATTGGGCTTATTCTCTGCAGATGTCTCCTCTGCCTGTTCCCCCTGGGGCCCTCCAGTGCCCCCTAGAATCCTAGTATATAGCACTAAATGTTCCCAGGCATAGCAGCTAGCTGTCTGCTGCTCCCAGACTCATCCTTTATCACTATGCCTTTCCTCACCACTGGACTGACATCTGTAGAGCCCCCATCGCATGTACAGGTAGAAAAACACACCATGGTCCCATTTTAAGGAAGAAGGAACTGCTTCAGAAAGGTTGACATGGTCTGTCCAAAATCAGCTATAAGGGAGCATTTGTACATCAGTCTCCTGCCCCTGCCACAGCACATACCCGCTGTTTCACACTCTTTGCTCAAAAATACCCAGGCTCCTACTTCCTACATCACTTTCTCCTCAGCCACCTAGATTTCAAAGTCACATTTCACAGAGGCCATGGTTGTCTCTCTGGCCATATTCAACAACCCAATATGCAGCCTACCAAGACCTCTGGTACCTCAGGGCCAAGTCCCCTTGCAAGACTTGAATCAGGTCCACCTGCCCCACAAGGCAAGTCCCTTAGCACAGCACAGACCTAATGTGGCTGGCCTCAGAGAACAGCTCCTTTAGGAGACCTTCTGAGGCTTTATGTCTCATGAACTGGGGAACCCAATTCTAGGCACAGGTTCAGTGTGAAGGCAAGTGCTTAGCTAATAATCCAAACAGAAGTATTAATTCTGTGTGATAAAATTCCTTTCTCCTTCAAGTGCCAAGGTGGGTCTTAGTGGCTGCAGAATTCTGGTCTCTGTGTGAGCTGGGTGAGGGCAACTTGGCCATGAGGAGACAGGAGCTCATGTGGAGCTGGACTCAGGGAGCAGAGGCAGAGATGCCCTGCTATCCTACAATACTGACAGTTGTGGTGGGCACAGTGGGCACCAGCACCCCCCTCCAGAGGGCACAGACTGCCTAGCAGAGACTGCTCCATGCATGTGGGAGGTCAAGGTTGTCTGAGACAGTCTAACCCTCTACCCCACCCTGAAACCCACAAAAACACAACCATGCTCTGTTCTCAGACAACCTTGTCCCTATTTCCCCAGCCCTTCTCACTACAGATATGTTTTAGATTCTCTTCCTAGGAACCTGAGGTTCAGCAGGAGATAGTGGGTGGAGTGTGGGTGGAAGAGGCAAGAAATTCTCATGTAGTTCTGGTGATGAGTTCAGAAAAAGCTCGGGATTTAGCTCAGAGGTGCTGCCACCTGCCTTGAAAGCTCAAGGTCTGGAGTTTGATCCCAGTACCAAAACAAAACAAAACAAAACAAACAAAAATGTTCAGGAAAAAACAAAACAGGGAATGAACTCTCCTTCCCTAATACTGTGTGTAGGAGGATGAGACACGACATAGTTTGGATTTTTTGTTTGTTTTGGTTTTTGAGACAGGGCCTGGCTATGTACTTCAGGCTAGCCTTGAACGCACTATGTAGCCCACGGTGGCTTCAAACTCATGGTTATCCACCTACCTCAGCCTTGTGAGTGCTGGAATTACAGGAGTGACCCATTACACCAGCCCTGTA